GGGCGACGACGACGCCGAAATAAAGTTGTCGGGGCGAAAGGGGCGGCGCGCTGGGCTGCTGGGGAGAGGGGGGGGGCGACGACGACGCCGAAATAAAGTGGTCGGGGCGCAGGGGGCAGCGCGCTGGGCTGCTGATGAGAAGGAAGGGGGGGGGGGACGACGACGCCGAAATAGAGTCGTCGGGGCGGAGGGGGCGGTGCGCCGGGGTGCTGGGGAGCGACACGTAGCGACACATGTCGACACAACGCCGAAATAAAGTGGTCGGGGCGGAGGGGGCAGCGCGTTGGGCTGCTGAGGAGAAGGAGGGGGGGGGAGCGACGACGACGCCGAAATAAAGTGGTCGGGGCGGAGGGGGCGGTGCGCTGGGGTGCTGGGGAGCGACACACAGCGACACATGTCGACACATATCGGCATATAGAGACAAGTATCGACACGCACACATATCGACGCATAGCGACACACAGCGACACATAGCGACGCACACGTGGATACGCATAGCGACACACAGCGACACAGACACATATAGCGACACATATAGCGGCACATGAAGGGCACAAGGCGCACAGCGACACATATAGCGACACATGAAGGGCACAAGGCGGTTGAGGGGGGGGCGACGACGACGCCGAAATAATGTGGTCGGAGCTTTAGACACCCTGTGCAAGAATATAATAAAAATAGTACCAATAATACTAATCATAATAGTAGTAGTAATAATACTGACAATAAGACGAAGAAGAAAGAGGAGGAGGAGGAGGAGAAGGAGGAGGGGGAGGAAGAATATGAGGATGAGGATGAGAATGAGGAGGAAAAGGAGGAGGAGGAAGAGGGGGAGGAACGTGCAGAGGAGGAAGAGGAGGGTGATCATAATGGTCAGAGGTTTTTTTGGATGCCTATCGGAGTCTCTTCGGGTGTCTCTTCAAAACTTCTTGGAGTCCTCTTGGGGTCCTCTTGGGGCGTCTTGGGGGCGCCTTGGCGGTCCTGGGGGCCTCTTGGGGCGTTTTGGGTGCGTCGGGGGGGCCTCCTGGGGCCTCTTGGGGGTCTCTTCGGAGCATCTTGGTGATTTCTTTGGGGTCCCTTGGGGCTTTCTGGGTATGTTTTGGAGCCCTCTTGGGGCACTCTTGGGAGCCTTGGGGGCCATCTTGGGGCCGCCTTGGAGGACATCGATCAAAGAAGGGGAGGTACTAAATCAGGTTTTCCCCAGGAGGCCAACATGTGCCCCAACCCCATGTATAATCATTGATTTTGGCCCCCTAGCCGATGCCTTTTTGGACGCTCCCATGAGTCGCGAGCCCCCCCGTCCAGGTCCAGGGGAAGGAGATCGGGGGAGGGGTAAACCCTTCCCCGACGGGGAAGAAGGGGGTTGGAAGGGGAAACGCTTAGAACACCCACACACTAAAGGGCCAGTGGGATTCGCGCCCTAGCTACGCGCAGCTTTGGCGCGTCTCAGAACAATCATTGCCGTGTCAGGCACGAGGCGCTCACCGATGCGGTAGAAAACGGCGAGGAACGTGTATGTTTTGCCAGCGAGATGTGTGCACAGGGCTGGCCGCCGCCGTGGGGGAGTCGGCCGCTCTTCCTCGCGCTTCGGGGGGGAGAGTGCAAAAGCAGCGCCGATTAGAAGGACGTGTCAGAGCAGCGCCAAGGAAGCGAGGCTGAAACCACCCCCCTGTATCGCAGCTGGACCAGGATGGCCGACTCTTCAGGCTCTCGGAAGAGCGCGCCACCTGGCTTGCGGGCCTCTGGCGCCCGATCAGCAGAATTTTGTGTTGTGCCGCGGCGGCGTACCAGGCATGAGTGCTACTGGCCAGCGCTGCGGTGCCACAGCCGTGAGCTGATGGAGCGGCAGGCGCGGCTCCGCCGCTGAGTTCTGCGGTGAGCCCCGCAGTCTTGACCGGCCGTCGCTGCGGTGCCAGAATCGTGAGTCGATGGGCCAGGAAGCATTGCTCCGCCGTGGAGGTCTGCGCCGAACGTCGCCAGCGCGACGACGACGACGACGACGACGACGGCGACGACGGCGGTGGCGGCGGCGACGATGACGACGACGACGATGACGACGACGACGGCGGCGGTGGCGGCGGCGGCGACGGTGGCGACGACGACGACGACGACGACGACGACGACGACGACGACGACGACGACGACGACGACGACGGTGACGATGGCGACGACGACGACGATGACGACAACGGACTGGCTGTCGCTGCGGTGCCAGAGCCGTGAGCGGAGGGGCCAGCAGGAGCGGCGGCGCGGCTGTCTGCCGCGGAGGTCTGCGCTGCAGGCCGACTGGTCGGGATCGCCCTGGGTTTAAGGCGGGCACGTCCCTCCACAGGAGGAGTATTCAAGAGTAGTCGAAAGATAGCCAGGGGAGGATTGTTCGACGATTTTTTTTTTACCACTTCGGAGTGATTTTTGACTCTTTTTCTTTTTTCGTCCAAAGTCCGCCTGCAGGGGGACAGGCCCGACCTAGCCCTGGGTTCGCGGCGTGTGGCCGGGCGCAGGGCCTTCAAACTGCCCCTCTGCGGCTGCCAGAGGACGGCTCCGGATTCTGCGAGGAGGGACTCGGCGCCACCCAAACGCCTTAAGATGACGGGTGCGTCGCCCCCGATGGGGGCGACGTGCGCGCCGTGGAATCTCACAGTCGATGCTCCGCGGCTGACGTTTTGCCAGAGAAGCGGTATACTACAAGATGGTTATGCTGTATGTTCGGGTCGGGCGCACGATTCCAGTGAGGGCACACAGTACTAGTATGTCCCTGTGCGTCCCATGGGGTGGGAGAAAGAACTGGGAGCGGCAGGCGGCGGCGGCGGAGCGGGAGGGACCAGGCGGGGAGGAGGAGGCATGAGGCCGTGGGGATGTGGAGGGGGACATGGGGATGTTCACCTCGCGACCGCACAAAGCACACAGGATGACGAGCAAGCGATGCGCCCCTTCCTCTGCGCTGCCGTCCTCCCCTCGAGTGCTTTCGGACTTTTGCGGCTCCTCCCTTCCTTCGTTCCGACCCTGGCGCCTTCTCTTCCTTCTTTCACTCTCCAGCGTTGCGCCACAGGGGATTGATTGAGATCAGAAGGGGCTTTGACGGGCAAGCGAGGGGAGAGGAAGGGGAGGAGAGAGAGAGAGAGGGAGGATGGAGCCAGGAGCGAAAAGCGACAAGAAAGCGAATGAATAGGAAGAGGGAGGAGGAGGGATAGGGGGGAGCAAGACGAGCACCGATAGCAGGGGATGGTTGCCCAGTCGCCCCTCACTGCTGTCCCCAGGAGGGAACCCGTTGGGAAGATTGTTTATGCAGCGGTTTCCTGCAGCTGTCGTGAAATTGTGATTGGGCACGACCGCAGGAGAGGAAGCTGCGCATGGCGGAGAGCTCGCGGTAGCTCGCTCGAGGCTCGGCGCGCGCGCGCCGGCGAGCTGCAGAGCCTCGGAACAAGTGCCTCGCTGCTGCTGCTGCTCTTCTTTTTGTTCAGCTCTTTTGGTGCAGCTCCTACATAGAAGCACATCGCTGCGGAGGCAACTGCAGCTCCTACTGCAGCTCGAAATGCAGCTCCTCGTAGTGCTCATGTGCAGATCTTGTCACAGCTCCTATGCCCTCATACCGCTCCTGACGCTGCTCCCACTACAGCTCCCAGTAAAGCTCTTAGTGCAGATCCTACTGCAGCTCTTATTGAAGCTCCTAGTGCAGTTCCAGCCTGCCCTTATCAACGTTCCCGCGAGAGCTCCCAGGACTGCTCGCACTCGAGCTCATCTTATACCTTCGACTTGAGATCCTACCGCAGTGCAGCTCCTTAGCCTCGCCAGCCCACTGTTTTGGATCTCACGCGGCAATTTCTTTCTCGTATAAGCTCACAGGTAGGCTCGACATGTCTGTTTGATTGGGAGGCCAGATTCTTCTTCATGGACTGCAGCCATTGCCTTTCCTTGTCCATCCCTCGTCGTTATCCACAGCGCTGCGCGGCATCACCTCCTGACCAAAATAGGGGCAGGGCCCCTTGTAATGTTTTTGTGGGACTATTCCGTCTTGTTATCAGGCAGTGCAGCGGCGGGCAGCGGGAGGTATTGCGGGCAAGGGGACAGTGCGTGTGACAGCCACACCTCACGATATTGGAAAGAAATGACCGAATCAGGTGAGGTTCTCTACATCTTGTAGTTGACCTGCCCAGGGATATTCTTGACTCTTCGCGTATCCTCATCACCCCATCCAGCAATGCAGCCCAGGGGAGTCTGGAGGTGGGACGTAGGTCAGCACATTGTGAAACTGGCAGGTAGTAGTAGTAGTAGTAGTAGTAGTAGTAGTAGTAGTAGTAGTAGTAGTAGTAGTAGTCGTAGTAGTCGTCGTAGTAGTAGTAGTAGTAGTAGTAGTAGTGGTAGTGGTAGTAGTAGTAGTCGTAGTCGTAGTCGTAGTCGTAGTCGTAGTCGTAGTCGTAGTCGTAGTCGTAGTAGTAGTAGTAGTAGAAGAAGGAGTAGTAGTAGTAGTTTTAGTAGTAGTAGTAGTAGTAGTAGTAGTAGTAGTAGTAGTAGTAGTAGTAGTAGTAGTAGTAGTAGTAGTAGTAATAGTAGGAGTAGTAGAAGAGACGCATACGTAGTAGTAGTAGTAGTAGTAGTAGTAGTAGTAGTAGTAGTAGTAGTAGTAGTAGTAGTAGTAGTAGTAGTATAACAGTAGTAGTATTAGTAGTAGTAGTAGTAGTCGTCGTCGTCGTCGTCGTAGTTGAAGAAAAGAACACGTAGTAGTAGTAGTAGTAGTAGTAACCGTAGCAATCGTAGTAGTAGTAGTAGTAGTAGTAGTCGTAGTAATCGTAGTAGTCGTCGTCTTTGTAGTAGTAGTAGTAGTAGCAGTAGTCGTATTAGTAGTAGTAGCAGTAGTAGTAGTAGTAGTAGTAGTAGTCGTAGTAGTAGTAGTAGTCGACGAAGTAGTAGTAGTAGTAGTAGTCCTAGTAGTAGTCGTAGTCGTAGTCGTAGTTGTAGTCGTAATCGTGGTCGTCGTCGTAGTATTAGTGGTAGTCGTAGTC